GAGATGTAGTTTCAGCAAACGTGTGTTAACAATTGGAAAAATCTGTAATTAGTATAGCCTTGTTGTCTTGTTGATTGAAATGTGTGATTGTAAATTGGTCTACAACTCAGTCTATGACTGCAAACTACAAATAAATGCTAATATGACTACTACTTTCCGAATATAAGCCTTGTAGAAGCCCCTCTAGTTATTTGTTGTCATTTTGAATTGTATATAAACCGTCCTGAATTGAATATTCAGATGACCAAAAGTAGGACTAGGAGTACACTAGGTGGAATTTGCCATGGGCAGCTTCTGCTTATACCTTCACTAGGTGTGTAATTGTTCTGTTTTGGCTGTACCTATAGTGTACATACTGTATGTGGATTATGTGTAAATTATTACAGAATTTAGCAAGTTAGAATTACAGAAGTTAGCCCTATCTGGTAAAAGACCAAGTCCATATTGTGGCAAGAACAGCTCAAATAAGCAAAGAGAAACGACAGTCCATCATTACTTTAAGTCATGGTCAGTCAATACGGAAAATTTCAAGAACTTTTCAAGTTTCTTCAAGTGCAGTCGCAAAAACCATCAAGCGCTATGATGAAACTGGCTCTCCTGAGGACCGCCACAGGAATGGAAGACCCAGAGTTACCTCTGCTGCAGAGGATAAGTTCATTAGAGTTACCAGCCTCAGAAATTGCAGCCCAATTAAATGCTTCACAGAGTTCAAGTAACAGACACATCTCAACATCAACTGTTCAGAGGAGACTGTGTGAATCAGGCATTCATTGTCGAATTGCTGCAAAGAAACCACTACTAAAGGACACCAATAAGAAGAGCAGACTTGCTTGGGCCAAGAAACACGAGCAATGGACATTAGACCGGTGAAAATGTGTCCTAAGTCTGGAGTCCAAATTGGAGATTTTTGGTTCCAACCTTTGTCTTTGTGAGACGCGGTGTGGGTGAACGGATGATCTCCGCATTTGTAGTTCCCACCGTAAAGCATGGAGGAGGAGGTGTTATGGTGTGGTGGTGCTTTGCTGGTGACACTGTCTGTGATTTATTTAGAATTCAAGGCACACTTAACCAGCATGGCTACCACAGCATTCTGCAGCGATACGCCATCCCATCTGGTTTGGGCTTAGTGGGACTATCATTTGTTTTTCAACAGGACAATGACCCAACACACCTCCAGGCTGTGTAAGGGCTATTTTACCAAGACGGAGAGTGATGGAGTGCTGCATCAGATGACCTGGCCTCCACAATCCCCCGATCTCAACCAAATTGAGATGGTTTGGGATGAGTCGGACCGCAGAGTGAAGGAAAAGCAGCCAACAAGTGCTCAGCATATGTGGGAACTCCTTCAAGACTGTTGGAAAAGCATTCCAGGTGAAGCTGGTTGAGAGAATGCCAAGAGTGTGCAAAGCTGTCATCAAGGCAAAGGGTGGCTATTTGAAGAATCTCAAACAAAAAATACATTTTTATTTGTTTAACACTTTTTTGGTTACTACATGATTCCATATGTGTTATTTCATAGTTGTAATGTCTTCACTATTATTCTACAATGTAGACAATAGTACAAATAAAGAAAAACCCTTGAATGAGTAGGTGTTCTAAAACTTTTGACCGGTAGTGTATATAACACAAAGAATAAATACATAATGAGTAACGATAACTTAGCTATTATATACACGGGGTACCAGTCCCGAGTCAATGTGCAGTGTTACGAGGTAATAGAGGTAGAAATGTACATTACATATAGGTAGGGGTAAAGTGACTAGGCAGCAGGATAGATAATAAACAGCAGCAGTGTATGTGATGAGTCAAAATAATTAGTGCAAAAAGGATCAATGCAGGTAGGCTGGGTAGCTATTTGGTTAACTAGTTAGCAGTCTTATGGCTTGGGGGTAGAAGCTGTTCATGGTCCTGTTGGTTCCAGACTTGGTGCCTCGGTACCGCTTGCCGTGCGGTAGCAGAGAGAAAAGTCTATGACTTGGGTGACTGGAGTCTTTTACAATTTTTAGAGCCTCTGACACCGCCTGGTATAGAGGTCCTGGATGGCAGGGAGCTCGGCCCCAGTGATGTACTGGGCTGTACGTACTTGCGGTCGGATGCCAAGCAGTTGCCATACCAAGCGGTGATGCAGCCAGTCAAGATGCTCTCAATGGTGAAGCTGTAGAACCTTTTGAGGATCTGAGGGCCCATACCAAATATTGTCTGCCTCCTGAGGGGGAAGAGGCGTTGTCATGCCTTCGTCACAACTGTGTTGGTGTGTGTGGACCATGTTAATTCCTTAGTGATGTGGACACCAAAGAACTTGAAGCTCTTGACCCACTCCACTACAGCCCTGTCGATGTGGATGGGGGTGTGCTCGCCTCTCCATTTCCTGTAGTCCACGATCAGTTCCTTTGTCTTGCTGACGTTGAGGGAGAGGTTGTTGTCCTGGCACCACATTGCCAGGTCACTGACCTCCTACCTATAGGCTGTCTCATTGTTGTCGGTGATCAGGCCTACCACCGTTGTGTCTGGGATGATGGTGTTGATGTAATCCATGACCAGCCTTTCAAAGCATTTCATGGCTACAGATGTGAGTGCTACAGGGCGATAGTCATTTAGACAGGTTCTCCAGGAAAGACTGTGGACCCGAATCCAGTGACAAGCCTACCATGTTTAAAGATGATTTTATATTTAAGTTATGCATTTTTTCATGCTTGCTAATGCTGCATGGATGTCTGCTTTCAAGTATAACGTGTAGGCGGCAGGTAGCCTAGCGGTAAACAGTGTTGGGCCAGTAACCGAAAGGTCGCTGGTTTGAATCCCTGAGCCGACTAGGTGAAAAAAAATCTGTTGATGTGCCCTTGAGCAAGGCACGTAACCCTAATTGCTCCTGTAAGTCGCTCTGGATGAGAGCTTCTGCTAAAATTACGTAAAATATGTATTGGAGGTGGAGTCATCAATCTCTACATGCAATGCCATATGTGTTTGTCGTTGGATGATCAAGTTGTTGGGGTAGCTAATTAATTAAGAATTAACTGGCTCAAATAGCTGACCAATCAGCCTGTTACCAACTCTTACTAAACTTTTGGAAAAAATGTGTTTGACCAGATAAAATGCTATTTTACAGTAAACAAATTGACAACAGACTTTCAGCATGCTTATAGGGAAGGACATTCAACAAGCACAGCACTTACACAAATGACTGATGATTGGCTGAGAGAAATTGATGATAAAAAGATTGTGGGGGCTGTTTTGTTAGACTTCAGTGCAGCTTTTGACATTATCAATCATAGTCTGTTGCTGGAAAAACGCATGTGTTATGGCTTTACACCCCCCTGCTATATTGTGGATAAAGAGTTACCTTTCTAACAGAACACAGAGGGTGTTCTTTAAACTCCTGAGTGGCACAGTGGTCTAAGGCACTGCATCGCAGTGCTAACTGTGCCACTAGAGATCCTGGTTCGAATCCAGGCTCTGTCGCAGCCGGCCGCGACCGGGAGACTCATGGGCGGCGCACAATTGGCCCAGGGTAGGGGAGGGAATGGCCGGCAGGGATGTAGCTCAGTTGATAGAGCATGGCGTTTGCAATGCCAGGGTTGTGGGTTTGATTCCCACTGGGGGCCAGTATAAAAAAATAAATATATATATATATATATATGTATTCACTAATTGTAAGTCGCTCTGGATAAGAGCGTCTGCTAAATGACTAAAATGTAAATGTAATGGAAGCCTCTCCAACAAAATACAGGTAGAATCAGGAATTCCCCAGGGCAGCTGTCTAGGCCCTTTACTTTTTTCAATCTTTACTAAATACATGCCACTGGCTTTGAGTAAAGCCAGTGTGTCTATGTATGCGGATGACTCAACACTATACACGTCAGCTACCACAGTGACTGAGATGACAGCAACACTTAACAAAGAGCTGCAGTTAGTTTCAGAATGGGAGGCAAGGAATAAGTTAGTCCTAAATATTTCAAAAACTAAAATAATTGTATTTGGGACAAATCATTTACTAAACCCTAAACCTCAACTAAATCTTGTAAGACTAAATTGCTTGGAGTAACCCTGGATTGTAAACTGTCATGGTCTAAACATATTGATAGAACAGTAGCTAGGATGGGGAGACGTCTGTCTATAATAAAGCGCTGCTCTGCATTCTTAACAGCACTATAAACAAGGCAGGTCCTACAGGCCCTAGTTTTGTCGCACCTGGACTACTGTTCAGTCGTGTGGTCAGGTGCCACAAAGAGGGACTTAGGAAAATTGCAATTGGCTCAGAACAGGGCAGCACGGCTGGCCCTTGGATGTACACAGAGAGCTAACATTAATAATATGCATGTCAATCTCTCTTGGCTCAAAGTGGAGGAGAGATTGACTTCATCACTACTTGTATTTGTGAGGGGTATTGAGATGTTGAATGAACCTAGCTGTCTGTTTGAACTACTGGCACACAGCTCGGACACCCATGCATACCCCACAAGACATGCCACCAGAGGTCTCTTCACAGTCCCCAAGTCAAGAACAGACTATGGGAGGTGCACAGTACGACATAGAGCCATGACTACATGGAACTCTATTCCACATCAAGTAACTCATGCCAGCAGTAAAATTAGTTTTTTAAAAACAGATAAAAATACACCTTATGGATCACCGGGGACTGTGAAGCAACACAAACATAGACACATTCATACAAACACACGATACCATACGCACTATACACACATGTACACATGGATTTTATGTTATAGATATGTGGTAGTAGAGTAGAGGCCTGAGGGCACACACTTAATATGTTGTTAAATCTGTTATGAATGTATTGTAATGTTTTTAAAATGTATAACTGCTTAATTTTGCTGGACCCCAGGAAGAGTAATGGGGATCCATCGTAATGGGGATCCATAATAAATACAAATATAAGGGCCCCGAAAGATACGTTTATGTGTAGTGGTGACCCTCTCTACCACACCCCTTCACATGTTGCAGCAAAACACAGCGATGACTTTTTCTTCTCCCAGAATGCACCTCACTGTGCAGTGACGACGAAGACAACAACAAAACACAGCTGCAAAGTAGGGTGTTAGCTTGCTAGCGTTACTTGAAATTAACCTTAGCTCGAGTCACATAACCCTGGGCGAGGAGAAGAGACCTGTAACAAGCGAAATGAGAATCGATGAAAATGTGTAGCTACATAGCAATATGAATCGATTGTAAAAACTAAGATTGAGTCAGCTACATTAAAGACTAGCTAATCATCCCACATAGCTAGCGTTCTAAATCCAGCTAACGTTAGCTAGCTCTATGTCATTCAAGCTAAACCAGACTAGCCAGCTACCGGTATCTCGCCAAGGCGGAGGAGAAGATGGGAGTAAACAAAAAAGGTAAGAGTTTATATTATTGCTAGACACATGTCAGTCATATAACATGTTTCTGTAAATAGGACAGGGCACTTTACGGACCCATTCACTGTCATGGGTGTAAACCTCCAGAAATAGATTGCTAGTTAGTTAGCCAACGTTAGCTAAACTAGCTAACAGTAGGTAGTGGTTAGGCAACGTCAACTAACTAGCTAACGTTAGCTAGCGAAGTTGCTGAGAAACCCGTCAGAGGAAACAAAGGGATTTAAGACATCTATTAGTTACTTCATTAACCATATAGCTATGTCGATATTAATTTAATTTACTGTGTCATATTACTTGGTACTTTTCTTTGCCTTCGTTATTTTGTCCAACCTTGGCCTCAAGCTAGCTGGCTAGCTAGTACTGTAACGTTAATGCCACAATGGTCTATTACGCAAGCATAGCGAGCTAACGTTAAAACTTGCAAGACACCGCCGACGGTGTCAAGGCCTCGTAGTTGATCGTCGGAGAGCGATACGGTCATGTTTCAAATGTAGACAAACAATTTAGCTATTCCCGCTTGTGCGTGCCACATTAGCTGGTTTGCTCAATTACACGGCGTATTCGCTAGCCCAGGGCGTATTTCCAATGTTTTTACATGTCTTGTGTTTGGCCGATCAAACCGCAAATTATCTAATTTAGTTGGCAGCTAGCCATATTAATTGTTGTTTCTAGACGAGTTTCAATGTGAGACAGGCGTTCTCAGTCTTGTTTACAATGCTAGTTCGCCTACGTTAGCTTTAGCTAGCTAGCTATTTTTATAGTCAACATGACTCAGCCTGTAGCTACAGCCCTTGACTGCCTAGCTAGTGAGTGTGTCCAAATGTAAATTTCGCCTGATAATAATTTTGCTGTACAACGAACGTTTGCCCAACTAGAAAGCAGCAGCAGTATCTATTCATTTTGGAACTAGCCAGGTGATGTCAAATTGAAAGAAACATTATTTAGTTGAGTTCAAGCATCTACTGAATTAGTTGAGGTTAGAATAATTAGTTGAGGTTAGAAGCCCCACGTGTGGCTGCTTCTCAGTTCTCTTCTCAATAAGGCCCGAGGGTGTGTTGTATATGGCCAATATACCAGGCTAAGGGCTGTTCTTATGCATGGCGGAGTTCCTGGACACAGCCCTTAGCCGTGGTATATTGGCCATATACGTAATTAGAGCAGTAAATATAAATGTTTTGTCATACCCGTGGTGTATGGTCTGATATACCACGGCTGTCAGCCAGTCATTCAGGGCTCGAACCACCCAGTTTGTAATGATCTTTTTGGGATTCGTTTTTTTACCGGTACAGGACCAGTGTCTCTCAAAGAAAATTAGCTAGAGATTATGTGATTTATGTGTCAATAAATGTCTTTGGTAGACTTGAACGAATTGTCAAACATTCAAGGTAGCTTCCATTAGCACGAATAGTAAACAGTATCGAAAATCACAACCAAAAGTAAATACCTAACTATTGTAAATACCTTTTTCATCTTCACAGGGTGGTGTTGAATGACTAAATGATCAAGATAAAGGAGTGTGAAGATCGCTGGAGGATTCAACATGAAGTTGTATGTATTCCAGGTCAACAATGGAAGCACTCTGACATTTGACACAGAGCTTGCTGTCCAAACGTAAGACCCATTAATTTATTATTTCAGATTATCCTTATCCATTTTCTACTAGTCTCAAAGGAAAATTGAATTCATGCTGAAATCAAAAAGTAATCTGAACCTGTCTTCTTGCAGAGTGTTGGACCTCAAACATGCCATCCAGGTCAAATACAAGATTGCAACCCAGCATCAAGTCCTGGTTGTCAATGGAGGGGAGTGTATGGTTGCAGAGAGGCGAGTCTGCAGCTACAGTGCTGGCACGGTAAATTTGCATCATTTGGAATGATTGTTTGTTTTTGGTGATGATTGTGTTGCATAAAGGAGCTGGTTTTGACTTGATTGATTACAGTTTTCTGTGCAAGGTGTTGAAAAAAAAGAGGACATCATTATTCCAGATGTGTTCTGTTCAAGAGTCTTGACATATTGTGTTTTTGTTTCCCAGGACACCAACCCCATATTCCTGTTCAACAAAGAGATGATTTTGTGTGACCGGGCTCCGACTATCCCCAAAACCACCTTCTCTATTGAGAATGAGATGGAGCTCAAGGTGGAGGAGTCACTAATGATGCCAGCAGTTTTTCACACCGTTGCCTCACGAACACAACTTGCTGTGGTAAATGTTTTGTTGGTCTAGTTACTACTTTCTCAAAATAAGCCATCACTGTTGCTGTACCTTGTTTTACAACATTAAAATAGGATATGAAAATGTAATGTTCTCAATATTCAAATAAGGGTAGCTAATCAAATGTAGGATTGTTTTGGCATTTTTAGTGTGATCAAACTTCTGAATACCATTCTTATGCTTCTCTAGGAAATGTTTGAAGTCGCCAAGAAACTTTGCTCTTTCTGCGAACGCCTGGTTCACGATGAACACCTCCAACACCAAGGCTGGGCTGCCATCATGGCAAACCTGGATGACTGCACCCTTTCCTATCAGAAGCTACTGTGGAAATTTGACACGGCATACATTAATTATCAACAAGACTTTGAGGATATCAAATTGAAACTGACAAAGTAAGTGACTCCCTGCGTAAATATTAAGTTTGATGCAATTGGAAAGGGGGGGGGGGGGGTGAATAATGCAATTTGGATGTGTTGGCCTGCTGTGACAGTTCAGTCAATAGGTTCAATTTCAATTAATTATTCAGGTTAAATGAATGTATCTCACAGATAAAGTGCTGTATCAGGTTAGATCTCTGTGTGTGGCATACCACATCAGCTAATTACGTTAATCATATTTTTACATTTTAGTCATTTAGCAGATGCTCTTATCCAGAGTGACTGACAGTAGTGAGTGCATACATTTTCTTTCTTTCATACTGGTCCCCTGTGGGAATCGAACCCACAACCCTGGTGTTTTTTCATCTCTCTCTCTCTCCAACCCCCCCCACCTCCCCCGCCCGCCACACTTGCATTAATTAATCTGTATCCAAAGAATCTGTGCCGCATGTGACCTGTATCCAAAGATGTAAATGTAAATTCTATGGGTGTGAACTGAGATTTAACATGTCCTTTTCTAGACTGGGGACAGCAGTCTCAGTCATGGCCAAGATCCCCCTGCTGGAGTGTCTGACCCGCCACAGCTACAGAGAATGCCTAGAGAAGTCCTGCTCCACTCCAGACAAGGACTCAGATGAGACAGAAGAGGAGAAGTCCACTGACTCTGTGCTCTGCCCCACCCCCACCGAAACACAAAGGAACTCCACCAAGCTACTTATGTCAATCTCTGCTCCGGGGGCGGTGGGCTCACCCGACACCGCCGAAGCCCAGGAAAGCAGTGAGATGACTGACAGTAGTGGGCTGAGGGCAGCCCTGCAGGAGGCAGACTCTCCAGAGAGGGCCAACCCCCCGTCCTTCAACGTCACACTGCTGGACTGGATCAATGTTCAAGACCGGCCCAATGACGTGGAATCAGTTGTGAGGAAATGCTTTGACTCCATCAATAGGGTGAGTCACTGTTGTTTGTGTCTGTATGTTCTCTTTATTGTGTCTGTATTTCTGTATGTGTGGCTGAATAGGCCTCTCTCAGTGGCCTTGCCATGACTCCACAGTGCAATTCTGTATCAACATGAGTCTAAATTCAGTTATGCAAGTTTATTTAGTTAAAAGCACGTTTTGGTTGTAAAGTGTGAAGAAACAGGCAGAATGGAGCCACATCGTCCTTTCTATTTCAGCTCGACCCACGGATCATTCAACCATTCTTGGCGGAATGTCGAGACACGATAGCCAAACTGGATAATCAGAACATGAAAGCCATCAAAGGGCTTGAGGACAGGTTATACGCTCTAGACCAAATGATAGCGAGCTGTAACAAGTTGGTCAATGAACAGAAGGAACTTGCTCAGGTAAGCAAAATAAATCTTATCTAAATTATGTAATTGTGCCAAATGCCAATAGTGAATAAAACACTGTATAGAAATTAGCCTATTCATTCAAATGACTACTAGATAACATGATGTACTGTATACTGCAATCAAGCTTTTAGTTGAAAATGTGTGCATGAAATAAACCAAACTAAACTCACCTATCAATCAATCTATTGGCTTTTAGGGATTTCTGGCCAATCAGAATCGTGCTGAGAACCTGAAGGATACATCCGTGCTGCCTGACCTGTGTCTTAGTCACGCCAACCAGCTGATGATCATGCTGACCAACCACAGGAAGCTGCTGGACATCAAACAGAAGTGCACCACTGCCAAACAGGAACTGGCGAACAACCTACAAGTTCGACTCAAGTAAGACATCTGTTAATCTGTCTAATTTTTAATAAGATGTTCTCCGTGGCTCTCGGTGCATCTTCATCCCAGAAGACAATAACATACAGCTGAAAATCCCTTGAGCAATGAAATGAACCAAATTGCTCTACTGAATCCAGACTTCTAACTGGTCAAATACAGCCATTGAAAGCACAAAACTAACTAAGCTAACACTGTAGAAATAATGCTAACTTAGCCAAGCTAACGCATCCTGACCACTGTGACTGTAGATGGTGCTGCTATGTGATGCTGCACGCGGATCAGGACGGGGAGAAGCTGCAGGCCTTGCTGAGGCTGCTGACAGAGCTGATGGAGAGGGTCCGGGTGGTGGACGCCCTCAGCAGCGTGCCTCAGATGTACTGCCTGGCTGTGGTGGAGGTGGTCCGCAGGAAGATCTTCATAGGCCACTACAGAGAGGTCAGAAAACAGGACCATCATGTGACCCCTTCTCAAAACCCAATCCCAACACACGTCTCCCCTTGTTCCAACTTGCAGACCTAACACAAGCCTCAACCTCCAGCCAGGCCTTAAGATATGCAATGAAACTCAAATTGGAGGGAAAATAGTGTAAATTCTGCTCTTCTATTCTTATCTCTCTTCTCAGTGGGCCTGTGCTCTCGTGAAGGATGGAAAGCATCTCTATGAGACTGAGAAGTATAAAAGGGAAACGTTTGGCAAGTTGTTCAGTAAGTTCCTTTATTAAAAAAAAGAAAATCCTATTTGATGATATTTAACAAGTGTCCCTTCTGAAATTAACATACATTAATTCCTACTTACAGCTGAGCTGACATAAAGCTCTGTGATCCTCTTTGCAGGGAAATCTTTTCTCAGAAATCGCTTGTTTAGAGGACTTGACTCATGGCCCCCCACTTCATTTTGCGTAAGTAGTCAGTCAGTTGTGGTGTTTTTTAAACATCTATTTCATTTCCAAAATATTGTAATCCAACCCATTTCTCTCGTTTTTGTTGTTTATCCCTCTTTTATCGTGTAGACGCGAAAGCCCAGAAAGTTTGACTTTGAGCTTCCAGATATTTCCCTTGGTGACCTGCAGTACTTAAAGACCTGTTGTCCTCCAGAGGTGCAGCCTTTCCTCAGGTAGGCCGTGGTTTCCCTCTCCTGCAAAGTGAAGCAATAACCATGCATGTCTTGTAACAGGCCTACTTAGTACCTGTCTGCTTTATGTTTTAGTTAACTTGTGAACACTTGGCTGTATTATCTGTTGCAATATGCAGTGCAATAACCCTGTTACTTTTCCCCAGGCTTCCAACACTGCGTGACTTTGAGCCTTTGCACCAGCACGTCGAGATGCTTCAACAATTGGTGCTAGCTGCTCAAGCTGCCAGTGTGGACGAGATGTCTCAAACTATCACTGACTTACTGAGCGAACAAAGGGTAATCACAATCTACAATGGAATATGCACTGGCAATAATCCAAAAGCACAGAGATCACTGTCCCTTTATTGCATATTCTTCTCTCACTCCCCTTCTCATTTCTGTTCCTCCAGGTGTCATGCAGCCAGAGTGCTCAGAGATCCACGACAGCGGTGACCCCGTTGACCCCGCGGTCCGACAGCACCCCGGGGACCACCTTTACCTCCTCCAAGACCCCCTCCACTCTCAGTCTCCCGGGCCCACTCTGCCAGCCCCTTCCTGGCCCCACCACCCTGGAGGACCTGTCCCCAGACAGCATCGACGCCCAAACCTTCGACTTTGAGACCATTAGCCACCCCAACATGGACCCCGTCCTGCAGCAGGCCGGCTCCCTGGACCTGGACTCTCTGGCTGAGAGCCCCGAGTCAGACTTCATGTCGGCGGTCAACGAGTTTGTGATCGAAAACTCGCCCACCCCCATCAGTGACCCCACCAGCCCAGAGATGATGGTGGAGTCGCTGTACTCTTCGGTCATCAATGCCATCGACAGCAAGCGCATGCATGACACCACCACCTTAGAGAGGGAGAACTCCAAGATGGCCGCGCTAAAGCTGAGCATTGAGAAGTACCGCACTGCCGCCGAGGAGTCCCAGACCAACCTGCGGAGCGTCAAGGATGACCTGTACCGCTACAGAGACCTGGTGTTAAAGGAGCAGCGAGACTTTGGCTTCGCCTTGAAGACCATGACCATTGAGGTGCGCAACATGGTGGACACCATCTGTAAGAAAGAGGAGGAGGAGCTGAGGGAGCAGCACCAGGCCGAGCTCCACTCCCTGCAGCAGGACCACGAGAAGCAGCTTCAGGCCCTGACAGAAGAGAACCAGGTCAACCAGAACATTGTGAAAGATGTGCAGCGGGCCATGCTGGACCTGGAGGGGCTGCTGGAGCACAAAGAGAAGGCGCTTACCCAGCTGGAGGTCGAGAGGGAGCACTGGGCCGAGGCAGAGAACGGACACACTCAAAGGGCCAGGGACCTGGAGCAGAAGGTCAGCAATCAGGCCCAAGAAGTGCAGACCCTGGCTGCCTCCAGAGACTCCCTGGCCAGCCAGCTGGAGATGCTGCACGTTGAGATCGAGCGCAGCCAGCAGAAAATCCGCCAGGAGCTGGAGGGGGCCGAGCAGTCCCACCTGCAGGAGCTGGAGGAGAGGATGAGGCAGCAGCACCAGGCCCAGTTAGACACCCTGGCCCGGGAGAACCAGGAGGCCCAGGAGCATCTGGCCACAGAGAACAGGGCCAAGCTGAGCGATGTCACTGACCTGCACGTCGCCACCCTGACAGAGAGGGACGGCCAGCTGAGGGACCTGGAGGCCCGGGTCGTCGAGCTGGCTGACCTGCGCTGCAAGCTGGAGGTGGAGCTGGCCCTGAAAGAGTCTGAGACGGAAGAGGTGAGGCTGCTGTACGAGGAGGCCAAGCAGGGGCAGCAGGAGGCTAATGTGGGGAAGGCCACAGTGGAGGCAGAGACCCAGTCCCTCAGCAAACAGCTAGCCCAGGTTAACAGGCAGCTGCAGGCCAAGAACGAGGAGTACGAGACAGGCCTGGCTGAGCTGAGGAGGCTGATGCGGCTGGAGAAGGACCAGTGTATCTCTGAGTTGGTGGACAGGCACGAGGAGGAGAGGAACCAGCTCCGCTGCGAGCTCACCACCCTGCAGCAGCAGACCCAGGACACTGAGAGGAGCCGCGTGGAGCAGCTGCAGAACCTCCAGCGAGACCTCGACCTGGCGCTGTGTGAAGATAAGGAGAAGCAGCGGAGGAGTTCTGAGGAGCAGGAGCAACACTTAAGGACAGTTATCTGCGATTTGCAGGTGGAGAACGACCTGCTCGCCAAAGGATTAGAGCAGGACACACAACATTTGGAGGAAGAGAAGACCTTGAAGGCTGCTGTACCAGATGACTTTAAAGACTTAAAGCAACAAAAGGTGGAGATGGAGAAAAGACTGTTAGACAAAATTAGACAACTTGAAAATGACCTTCAGGAAAGACAATCCTCTGAAAGGTATGAGCTGATGAATGCCCCACTGCTCTCTACTTGCATTAAACAGAACTGTGATTTGCAATAAACATTTCATTAGCCTTGTAATGAACAAGATTACTATTCATACAGACCATTATTAGCTGCGACATTAGTGTCTCCATGTGATATATTGTATCTAATACAGCAAACATTTTAGTTAATCACTCCCAGACTTCAGTGAGCTGTAGTATACCCTGAAAATAGCAGTTTTGTTATGTGGCATAGTTGCATTTAGGGTTGGGTTACCGCTAAGTGCAATGTTTACATCATGAAAAAAGGGCCTGCGGGAAAGCTAGGGGAAACCACAGCTTGTACCGTATGCTTGACATATACCTGTTGCCTAAGGGTCTCTGTCTGCCTGTGTCTCTGTCTGCCTGTGTCTCTGTCTGCCTGTGTCTCTGTCTGTACCTGGGCTGTTTGTGTGTCTGTCTGTGTCTCTGGGTCTGTATTTTACTTATGTTTCTGTCTGTGTGTGTCCCTCAGAGAGGCAGGGTTGTCGGAGGTGCAGACAGAGGGTCGGGGGTCTGATGCTGGGGCTCCTCTCTCCCTGGACTCTGCCTTGCAGGAGTGTCTGCAGCAGGAGACGTCGTCACTGCACACCCAGCTGGAGCTGCTGGAGAGGAGGAAGAACGAGGAGATGCAGAACCTCAAGACCTCGCTCATCGCAGAACAACAGGTCAGTGTTAGGCTAGTCCTCCCCAGATCTTCAGAGGGTTCCTCTGTCAATATTGACCAGCACCAAATCTACAGTGCCTTGCAAAAATATTCATCCCCCTGGCGTTTTTCCTATTTTGTTGCATTGCAACCTGTAATTTAAATGGATTTTTATTTGCATTTCATGTAATGGACATACACAAAATAGTCAAAATTGGTGAAGTGGAATGAAAAAAATAACTTGTTTCAAAATATTCTACAAAATAAATAACGGAAAAGTGGTGCGTGCATACGTATTCACCCTTTTCTATGAAGCCCCTAAATAAGATCTGGTGCAACCAATTACCTTCAGAAGTCACATAAATAGTTAGATTGCACACAGGTGGACTTTATTTAAGTGTCACATGATCTGTCACATGATCTCAGCATATATACACCTGTTCTGAAAGGCCCCAGAGTCTGCAACACCACGCTATGTCTGGCGCAAACCCAACACCTCTCATCACCCCGAGAACACCATCCCCACAGTGAAGCATGGTGGTGGCAGCATCATGCTGTGGGGATGTTTTTCATTGGCAGGGACTGGGAAACTGGTCAGAATTGAAGGAATGATGGATGGCGCTAAATACAGGGAAATTATTTAAGGAAACCTGTTTGTCTTCCAGAGATTTGAGACTGGGACGGAGGTTCACCTTCCAGCAGGACAATTATCCTAAGCATACTGCTAAAGCAACACTCGAGTGGTTTAAGGGGAAACCTCTAAATGTGTTGGAATGGCCTAGTCAAAGCCCAGACCTCAATCAAATCGAGAATCTGTGGTATGACTTAAAGATTGCTGTACACCAGCGGAACCCATCCAACTTGAAGGAGCTGGAGCAGTTTTGCCTTGAAGAATGGGCAAAAATCCCAGTGGCTAGATGTGCCAACCTTATAGAGACATACCCCCAAGAGACTTGCAGCTGTAATTGCTGCAAAAGGTGGTTCTACAAAGTATTGACTTTGGGGGGGATGAATAGTTATGCAAGCTCAAGTTTTCAGTTTTTTTGTCTTATTTCTTGTTTGTTTCACAATAAAAATATATTTTGCATCTTCAAAGTGGTAGGCATGTTGTGTAAATCAAATGATACAAACCCCCAAAAATCCATTTTAATTCCATGTTGTAAGGAAACAAAATAGGAATAATGCCAAGGGGGGTGATTACTTTCGCAAGCCACTGTACATACACTACAATTTAAATCCTATAGTCTGTAGTTTGTCTGCCTAAAATGTTTAGCTTTTAACTAATTGTTTAGCTAAATGTTTCAATTTTTAGCATTTGTCTCCAATTACCTTCTAAGTAGGTCTAATTGTGATCCACTGGCAACTGCAAACAAACTGACCACTGGTGACCAACATCTAAATCTCTACAGATACTCCATTACATCACTACTACTAAGTCTTAGTCACCCCTTAATGAAAGCAAATCTGTGGGGCAGTATGTGTGTATTATAATTATAGCACACAGTGTTCTCATGTCCTCTTGCTTGCAGTCCAAATGGGAATATGATACTGGTCTGTGTGACCCTCTTGGTAGAACGTGGTTAGGCCTAAACCAAGTTGTTGGGAGTAAAAAGCGGTTAGAACAAGTTAGAAACATCAGTTAGAACACATTCTGCCTCACAAATATACAGTGGGGAGAACAAGTATTTGATACACTGCCGATTTTGCAGGTTTTCCTACTTACAAAGCATGTAGAGGTCTGTAATTTTTATCATAGGCACACTTCAACTGTGAGAGACAGAATCTAAAACAAAAATCCAGAAAATCACATTGTATGATTTGTAAGTAATTAATTTGCATTTTATTGCATGACATAAGTATTTGATCACCTACCAACCAGTAAGAATTCCGGCTCTCACAGACCTGTTAGTTTTTCTTTAAGAAGACCTCCTGTTCTCCACTCATTACCTGTATTAACTGCACCTGCTTGAACTCGTTACCTGTATTAAAGACACCTGTCCACACACTCAATCAAACAGACTCCAACCTCTCCACAATGGCCAAGACCAGAGAGCTGTGTAAGGACTTCAGGGATACAATTGTAGACCTGCACAAGGCTGGGATGGGCTACAGGACAATAGGCAAGCAGCTTGGTGAGAAGGCAACAACTGTTGGCGCAATTATTAGAAAATGGAAGAAGTTCAAGATGACGGTCAATCACCCTCGGTCTGGGGCTCCTTGCAAGATCTCACCTCGTGGGGCATCAATGATCATGAGGAAGGTGAGGGATCAGCCCAGAACTACACGGCAGGACCTGGTCAATGACCTGAAGAGAGCTGGGACCACGGTCTTAAAGAAAACCATTAGTAACACACTATGCGGTCATGGATTAAAATCCTGCAGCGCACGCAAGGTCCCCCTGCTCAAGCCAGCGCATGTCCAGGCCCGTCTGAAGTTTGCCAATGACCATCTGGATGATCCAGAGGAGGAATGGGAGAAGGTCATGTGGTCTGATGAGACGAAAATAGAGCTTTTTGGTCTAAACTCCACTCGCCGTGTTTGGAGGAAGAAGGATGAGTACAACCCCAAGAACACCATCCCAACCGTGAAGCATGGAGGTGGAAACATCATTCTTTGGGGATGCTTTTCTGCAAAGGGGACAGGACGACTGCACCGTATTGAGGGGAGGATGGATGGGGCCATGTATCGCGAGATCTTGGCCAACAACCTCCTTCCCTCAGTAAGAGCATTGAAGATGGGTTGTGGCTGGGTCTTCCAGCATGACAACGACCCGAAACACACAGCCAGGGCAACTAAGGAGTGGCTCCGTAAGAAGCATCTCAAGGTCCTGGAGTGGCCTAGCCAGTCTCCAGACCTGAACCCAATAGAAAATCTTTGGAGGGAGCTGAAAGTCCGTATTGCCCAGCGACAGCCCCGAAACCTGAAGGATCTGGAGAAGGTCTGTATGGAGGAGTGGGCCAAAATCCCTGCTGCAGTGTGTGCAAACCTGGTCAAGACCTATAGGAAAAGTATGATCTCTGTAATTGCAAACACAGGTTTCTGTACCAAATATTAAGCTTTTCTGATGTGTCAAATACTTATGTCATGCAATAAAATGCAAATTAATTACTTAAAAATCATACAATGTAATTTTCTGGATTTTTGTTGTAGATTCCGTCTCTCACAGTTGAAGTGTACCTATGATAAAAATTACAGACCTCTACATGCTTTGTAAGTAGGAAAACCTGCAAAATCGGCAGTGTATCAAATACTTGTTCTCCCCACTGTATATATTTTTACTATTTCAATGAATTATTATTATTATCATAGGTTTTGCTGCCAAGCCTAAGATCCTCCTAGCATAAGATCTTATGGTAAAGCGAGCATGCTTGATTGTGGTCTGTTGTTCTGAGCCGTGACTCAACCCTCAATTGACTCACTGAGCCTCACCTGTCTGGTAGTTCTTTGTCCTCTGTGACTGCCTCACTGTGTGTTAACTTACTGCTGCTGCATTGTCTGGGAGGTGTCTGAAAGCCTTAATTTCCCCCTCCTCCCTCCCCAGACTAACTTCAACACTGTGCTGACGAGAGAGAAGCTGAAAAAGGAACAGATCATCAGTGATCTGACAGAGAAGCTGCGGAAGGTTACCCAGCAACAGGAGAAGGACAAAGGTACAGGACAGACAGACACGTACAGCTAGGACACTGAGAGAACAGAATGATTTCTGCCTTCTGAAAACGTAATGGGCTGGAAATACTGAAACTAGATTGCATTTTCTATGCTGTTATTGGTTTCAGTGGTTCGTTCAGCCCTTGAATATGTTGGTTGATTGTACTGAATGTCAGTCTTGCTGCAGTCCATTCATCCTGATATGTTCACTGTGTGTCTCCAGGTCTAATAGAGACGCTGTCTGAAGACCGGGCCATCGTCATGCAGGAGAAGAAGCAGTTGGAGGAGGACCTGAACCGGCTGCGCAGCACTGCCCTGGTGTCCTCGGCCTACTACAGCCCTAACCCCTTAACCCTGGAGCCCACTGGAGCCAGGCCTGGACCTGGGCTTTGTCCTGGTCCTGGGACTGAAATTGAGGTTGGGACTGGAGCCTGCTACTCGGAGCCCTTCCTTGACCCAGACAGACTGGCCTCTGTGGCCACCATCAGAGAGGATGACAGGGTGGACTCAGCTGTGGAGGCCAGTATGGTGACAGTGCAGTAAGCATCTCCCAAACATTCCAAACATAAACATTCCAATAAACAGTGACTCATAATAACCCCCTAACATCGTAATGAATCTGTCATTTTATAGAAATAAGTTAAGCTTTGACAGATCTACTTGACAAAATATTTGTCTAATGGTACTTGTTTAAACTTGTTAAATGATACAGTGGGGAGAACAAGTATTTGATACACTGCCGATTTTGCAGGTTTTCCTACTTACAAAGCATGTAGAGGTCTGTAATTTCTATCATAGGTACACTTCAACTGTGAGAGACAGAATCTAAAACAAAAATCCAGAAAATCACATTGTATGATTTTTAAGTAATTAATTTGCATTTTATTGCATGACATAAGTATTTGATCACCTACCAACCAGTAAGAATTCCGGCTCTCACAGACCTGTTAGTTTTTCTTTAAGAAGACCTCCTGTTCTCCACTCATTACCTGTATTAACTGCACCTGCTTGAACTCGTTACCTGTATTAAAGACACCTGTCCACACACTCAATCAAACAGACTCCAACCTCTCCACAATGGCCAAGACCAGAGAGCTGTGTAAGGACATCAGGGATAAAATTGTAGACCTGCACAAGGCTGGGATGGGCTACAGGACAATAGGCAAGCAACTTGGTGAGACGGCAACAACTGTTGGCGCAATTATTAGAAAATTGAAGAAGTTCAAGATGACGGTCAATCACCCTCAGTCTGGGGCTCCTTGCAAGATCTCACCTCGTGGGGCATCAATGATCATGAGGAAGGTGAGGGATCAGCCCAGAACTACATGGCAGGACCTGGTCAATGACCTGAAGAAAGCTGGGACCACGGTCTCAAAGAAAACCATTAGTAACACATTACGCCGTCATGGATTAAAATCCTGCAGTGCACGCAAGGTCCCCCTGCTCAAGCCAGCGCATGTCCAGGCCCGTCTGAAGTTTGCCAATGATCATCTGGATGATCCAGAGGAGGAATGGGAGAAGGTCATGTGGTCTGATGAGACAAAAATATAGCTTTTTGGTCTAAACTCCACTCGCCGTGTTTGGAGGAAGAAGAAGGATGAGTACAACCCCAAGAGCACCATCCCAACCGTGAAGTATGGAGGTGGAAACATCATTCTTTGGGGATGCTTTTCTGTAAAGGCGACAGGACGACTGCACCGTATTGAGGGGAGGATGGATGGGGCCATGTATCGCGAGATCTTGGCCAACAACCTCCTTCCCTCAGTAAGCGCATTGAAGATGGGTCGTGGCTGGGTCTTCCAGCATGACGACCCGAAACACACAGCCAGGGCAACTAAGGAGTGGCTCCGTAAGAAGCATCTCAAGGTCCTGGAGTGGCCTAGCCAGTCTCCAGACCTGAACCCAATAGAACATCTTTGGAGGGAGCTGAAAGTCCGTATTGCCCAGCGACAGCCCCGAAACCTGAAGGATCTGGAGAAGGTCTGTATGGAGGAGTGGGCCAAAATCCCTGCTGCAGTGTGTGCAAACCTGGTCAAGAACTACAGGAAAAGTATGATCTCTGTAATTGCAAACAAAGGTTTCTGTACCAAATATTAAGTTCTGCTTTTCTGATGTATCAAATACTTATGTCATGCAATAAAATGCAATTTAATTACTTAAAAATCATATAAATGTGATTTTCTGGATTTTTGTTTTAGATTCCGTCTCTCACAGTTGAAGTGTACCTATGATAAAAATTACAGACCTCTACATGCTTTGTAAGTAGGGAAACCTGCAAAATCGGCAGTGTATCAAATACTTGTTCTCCCCACTGTATAGAGCGTGGAGACTTATTGGTTGAACTGTGGACAGTGAGGCCTTCGAAATGCATTAGACCAATTTATGAATAGAAGTTGTAGGCTGTCAAAGAATAATGTTGAAGATAGTAGTAGCATGTCAGTTTTAATGTGTAAAAGATTAAGAAGGATGTTGAAAATGCTTGTTTGAGATAGCCAGACAAGGATGGACAAAGTGAGGACAAATAACAGACAGAGAGCAAGGGAGGCTAGGATCGGAAAATGTAAGTTATTTCTTTATTTTTACTGTTAACTACGGTCAGGTAGGCTAGCAATCGTTATTATTACCCCAGAGAAGGTCACTCTAAATTCATATTTATGCTTGTTGAATTTTCATATTTCAGAGTAAGAATTTGTTTGAATGATTCTCAAATGTGTTAAAAGCTGTCGCTACAGTGATCTGATTATTGGTCCATTGTTTCTTTATCAGCGATAACATCCTGATGATGTCTGAGGAGAAACAGCGGATACTGTTACTTGAGAGGGTGAGTAGACACCTCTATGACATTATCTTCTAAATGGAACCCGATGAAGTTGGGGTCCTTGAATTAGGAATTACAATACTAATAGGATCTCTATATATGGGTTGTTCTAGAATTTGTCTTGAGTTCTTTGTCCTAACGTGTGCTGTCATATTTCAGACTTTACATATGAAGGAAGAAGAAAACAAGCGCCTCAGTCAAAGACTGGTATGTTTTATTAACTTTGATAACTGATTAGAGAATGTGGAAATGTTGCTATTAATATAATGTGATTGTTTAACTATTCTAGGGCAAGAAAACAACAAAAAATGTCCATTTCTTTTTATTCATTTTTTACATGGTTTCCATGTGTATAGTTGTCCCCCACAATGAAATCGGGGAGGGGACTGTGGATCTGTCTCCGTACGTTTGTACGTTAGTCACACGCGATATCTCAGACAGCACTGGCCCGATTTTGACGAAACTTGGATGAATGATGCGTCTTGCCATAGAGATCCTGAATTTACAGAATTACACTGATAGGCCCAAAGGGGGTGCTAGAGTAATCAACTGAAATTCCAAACATTGAACATGCATATCTCCTGTACCGTTTGAGCTTGAATTGTTGTCACTAATTGGCGCTGCATCATTTGTGGGGGACAACATGTTTACTATTGCCTTGTAACTTATGGATATACACTCAGTGGCTAGTTTATTAGGTACACCTATCTAGTACCGGGTCGGATCCCCCTTTGCCTCCAGAACAGCCGGAATTCTTCGGGGCATGGAAATGTTGCTCAATTGTTATCAAGGGACCTAACATGTGCCAGGAAAACATTCCCCACACCATTACACCACTGACACCAGCCTGTATTGTTGACACCAGGCTGGATGGGGTCATGGACTCATGCTGCTTATGCCAAATCCTGACTGCTATCAGCATCACGCAACAGGAATTGGGATTCTGGGGACCAGGCAATGTTTTTCCATTCCTCAATTGTCCAGTGTTGGTGATCGTGTGCCCACTGGATCTGCTTCTTCTTGTTTTTAGCTGATAGGAGTGGAACCCAGTGTGGTTGTCTGCTGGAATAGCCCGTCCGTGAAAAGGACAGACGAGTTGTGCGTTCCAAGATGCTGTTCTGCACACCACTGTTGTACTGCGCCGTTATTTGCCCGTTTTGTGGCCTGCCTGTTAGCTTGCACGATTCTTGCCATTCCCCTTTCAAACCTCATCAACAAGCTGTTTTCCCTAGACACTGTTGTGTGTGAACTCAGGAGGCCGGCGATTTCTGAGATACTGGAACCGGCGCGCCTGCCACTCGAGCAGTAACTGAATGCCTTGATGCCTGTCTGCCTGTGTTATATAGCAAGCCACGGCCATGTGACTCACTGTCTGGCCACGTGACTCACTGTCTGTAGGAGCTAACCATTTTCTTGAATGGGGTGGAGTACCTAATAAACTGTATTAGTGTATATCCCGTTAGAATTCATTTAGCTTTGACACAGGCATTGTCAGTGTACCCAAGGCTATTTTACCCCAGCACCACTAGATGGCAATAGCATCAAAGCTTATATCCAGCAGACCTAGGAGATTTCTGAGCCGTAACAGTAACTTCCTCGGTCAAAAGGAAAATCAATACAGTCATTCAGGCAGTTAGACATATTGCAGCACTATTGCACACATACCTAAACAATAGCATAAAAATAAATGCCAAAATGTATATGTTCCAGCAAATACATTTCACGCCACACAACATACAGTGGTGGTATTGTCAGCTGCCATGCAAAGATCAGTCAGAGCAGGAATGCATCCATGACCAGCAGTGTCAAGAAGATCATACTCTCACTCATAACACTATTACCTTTCTCTCTTTGTAGATGTCTCAAAGCATGTCCTCGGTGTCGTCACGGCATTCAGAGAAAATCGCCATCAGAGAGTAAGCGTATAAGATTGCCACATAAAGTGCTGATGTGTAGATGCAGTGCTTGTACGGTTCCTCCTTTGTAAAAAATTTAATGAGTTTTCTCCAGCAAATCTGTTTTTCAGCAGTATGAACACCCAAGATGATTATTTTTTACTGCATTTTTATCTCTTAATATCTGGTTAATCCTTTTGTTGTATATAGTATCTAGCACCATTTTGTGTCAAGGTTGACCCCTGTGTCCATTTCAGTTTCCAGGTTGGCGACTTGGTTCTGATCATCCTAGATGAAAGGCATGACAACTATGTGCTGTTCACCGTGGGTCCCACCCTGTACTTCCTCCACTCTGAGTCCCTCACTGCACTGGACCTCAAACCAGGTTAGACAATCACCATAGCCTAATACTTGTAGGCCTCAATACTTTAAAAAAAACTATATGTAGCTAAGTTATTAGAGAATATTTAGTTACTAAGTTATAAAATACAAAGTTATGTACAATTTCACTTTTGTTGCATAAATACAAAGTTGCATACAATTTATAATATATACAATTATACAAAGTTATTGTATGATGAAGATATGTTTTGTAGAACAAGTTGTGCAAAAACAAGCATTTATCTCCTCTTTACAAACTCAAAATATTGGTGAATTTATTAACTCTGACAACTGAATTGGAGTAACCTATGTCAAAATGTTTGTGTATTGATCGTATTGGTTTTATTGTGTCAATCACTGACAGATCCTATGTTTACTTCAGCATCAGGAGCCTCAAGACGGCCGTGGGTTCTTGGAAAAGTGATGGAGAAGGAATATTGCCAGGCGAAAAAGGTAATGTGAAGTAGTGTATATAGGTAATGAATTGTAATAGTCCAGTAGTATAGCACATTAGCTTTTCTTAATATAGATCGTCATTAAAGGAGGTAAAATTCTAATAAATTAAAATAGAACATTTAATAATCAACAAAAATAATCAACAATCAAAGGGTGACTTTTTAAGAACATGTATGTTGTGACTGTTTCCCTTAGGCTCAAAACCGGTTCAAAGTTCCTTTGGGCACCAAGTTCTACAGGGTGAAAGCTGTTTCATGGAACAAGAAAGTATAGTATAGCCAAGTTATGAGCTAAAATGTATGTTTATATTGCGTAAAGTTTTAAATAGACTCTCACATCATACATAATTCATAAATAAATCTCTTATCAACTTGAAAATGAAAAGAAAGATCATAATCATGCTATTATTTGGGCATTCAGTTCAACATCCCATCAACCCTCTCTTTCTTTTTAATCCGGAAGATTTGTTATTGTGGACCAAACGCTATTTCTTTATTAGGGCATGGCCCTAAACACTGGCAGAAAGCCATTACTACCTGTGTGTAAATTGAACAGAAAGTATTTTGATGTTTATATATTTAGTTCTCATTCATTATCAGCATTTGTCCTCTTTGTGGAAAATACTGTATCATTACCAACAACATAATTAAAATGAAAATATACATTTATTATAAATGTTTATGAAGGAATGTTCATGGCATGCATATTGATATATTTGATTTGATTTTACTTATCCAGATAAATGTCGTAGTTGGAAATGTAGTTAATGCTGTTTGTTACTCACAACGCAGTATGGCCCTGTGTTAATACTGATATGTACATTTTGGCCGACTGACGAAAGCGGTTGTCATTGCAATCCTTGAAAATGCACTTTCAAAATACAACGCTTTTTGTTGATTCAAAAGGGAAGGAATTGTGCTGTCAAATAAAATAAATACGTAAAAATTAACTATAACAGCACAAAACTTCCCGCTATCATAGAATATTGATATGTAGAAAGGAATACTTTGCTTGTGACCGTGTTTCATTACTGGATGACATTGTACATTACCCATCAATCGAATCACACAAGTAACAATAAATGACTGTATTGTAAAATAATTTAGAGTTTTGAAACAATAAAGGATTGATCCCAAATATCTTGTTGTTATTTCTATACATAACTGAAATACTCGGCCATAAAAAGCATTGGTGGTTTACAAAATATTTACACCCAAGACATAAAGACATGACGGAGAGACAATGGTTTAAAAAGACGCATTCCATGATGAGCAACATCTCAAAGTGCAGCATTAGAGAGAATATCATATATCTAATATACCTCTAATGACCTGCACATGAGAATTGCAGTGGAAGCTAATTTATGGAAATCATGTTACTGAGCCGAGCCTGCCTTTGGAATGCTCCTAAGGACATAGGAAGGAAAATGCTACTTCTGCAGTTAAAGGACAAGCAACTCGTTCATTACACTCAGTGACAACCTACCTGTTTTAAAACCAGGCTTGTTGGCTCTTCAGGAAATATAGTAGGCCAATATTAATGCTCACTATCTAAGAACATTTAATTAGAATATTTTCATTGTACAACAACAAAATCATTGATTGTTAAGAGACCAAAGAAAAAGGCTCTTTATTGCAATGGATTTATTTTAATGGCATGGTGTTTTCCCCCAAGTATGACCAATTGAAAAATTACAAATGGACAAAGAAAATGTGTAACGTTTTGATAATAGCAGTTGTTTCAGAAATCATTGGTTTGGAAATCCGTGTAAGTTCCCACAAGCTATAAAGAAAATACATTCTTATTTGATTTAGAATTTCTGCTTTTGTGGAAAGCATTAGCTAATGTGGCAGTAGTGTTGGCATGCTATGGCAGGAAACAGACTTCAAAAAGGCTTCAAATCAGGACCCAAGAACGGTGCGGCCCTCTTGGAGGAGGAAGCGCACCAACATCACTTTCCCAGATCACAGCAGGGAGCATCGCAGCTCTCTGCAGTGCAAGCGCTCACTAACCGTGTGGGTCTACGGGTGTTTTAACAATGTTTAGCTCTATTTTCTCCATTTAGCATAAGCCTGTTGTCACATTTGGATGGCTTCTTCATAAATTAATGGTGTGATTCCTACAATTTTCTTCGGGACGGGCCTGAATGAGAAAATATTTGACACAACACAGCATTCGATGATACCGAGGTGGCCTGGCACCCACCAACCATGTGCACTGGACAGGCTCTTAGTGTAAATGTTTACGACCCCCCTCTGAGCTTGGAGCTGCTTGGAGTCACTTATCAGGCTAAATGGGATTTTAGTTTTGCCATGTTAACAACAGTCAATGGCTTAGGATTGTGGCTTAGCACTGCATCTACACAACTAGTTCAGTATTAGTTTAAGACTGATACCTCCCTCAAATGTGTCTCAACACTAGCTAAACTAACTATCACCCCAAATAGGCCTGTCCATTATTCAAGTAAATTCGATGTGCAAGTGACGTTGTCATGCTTCTGGGTCCTGTCCCCTAATCTTTTGAATGGGCTTGACGGTTATAAAATCAAATTCATGTATAGGCCTTGTGCTGCTCCAAATGCATCAGAATAGAGTTATACCATACAAAATATTCAACAACTCACAAGTAGTTGTGCAAGGCGAATAAGGAACTCAAAATAGCTAGCAGGGAAGAAAGTGTTGTCTGTCTGATTAGACCGATTGTTCTCTGTATGTGGAGGAGCATCTGAAGGCAGGAAGAAGACAGTGGCTGTCTACTACAGTATTTGTCGGCCACAACAGTAGGAAAGAAAAGAAAATGACTGCAATGCAGGAACGTTGAGAGTTATTTGTAAAACTATACAAGGAACGTTGAGAGTTATTTGTAAAATCATACAAGGAACGTTGAGAATTATTTGTAAAATCATACAAGGAACGTTGAGAATTATTTGTAAAACTATACAAGGAACGTTGAGAATTATTTGTAAAACCATACAAGGAACGTTGAGAGTTATTTGTAAAACCATACAAGGAACGTTGAGAGTTATTTGTAAAACCATACAAGGAACGTTGAGAATTATTTGTAAAACTATACAAGGAACGTTGAGAGTTATTTGTAAAACTATACAAGGAACGTTGAGAGTTATTTGTAAAACCATACAAGGAACGTTGAGAATTATTTGTAAAACCATACAAGGAACGTTGAGAATTATTTGTAAAACCATACAAGGAACGTTGAGAGTTATTTGTAAAACCATACAAGGAACGTTGAGAATTATTTGTAAAACCATACAACTAAATGTGCAAACTGTTTTTCCGAAAACATTCAAGAAAAATGTTAAAACAGAATATTAGAGATTGGATAGCTACATGCATAATGCCCAGAATGTTAGCTATGCAAAAAATAGTAGTAGCTTGTCATTGAATTGGTCTCTTGAATACCATCAGTGCAACAAGAAGGATCTCCTCTTGACTCTCAGCTCATGTATGAAAAAACAACAATAATTATCAAAGATACTCCAAACTGTAAAAGGCAAGGGATAACCAACTACCCCTGCCTTGAAATGGCATAGTCAAATGATTCTTTCCTCCAGGCATTTATTCACTTGTCATCATGCTATACAAACACTCAATGTTATAGAGAGTTATAGTGACATATCAAAAAGATTAAGTAAAAGACAGGACACACAAAGAATGTCATATTTAGCGTTAAATTCTACCCTTTGTTACTCATATCTCTCTATTTCAAGATCATACTTACGTTGCATTAGATTTTCTCACATCTTTGACACTATACATTAGATAGAGGGGCAGCAAATAAACAAGTATTGTTCACAGAGTAAATATATGCATGCACTTAAAATGGTGGATAAATGAATGGGAATACATTATAACAATCTTATTTTGGGAAAATCTAAATGAAAGGAGTCTGTTGAAGAAGGTTGAAACAGCAAACCAAGGAGTAAATCGACTTAATGCCATCACATTTCCCCCTATTCATGCTATAAGAATGGGGTTAGAGAAAGAGATTAGTTTATACATCTGCTGTCAGAGACTGAAGAGACCAAGCAGAGAACTTCACCTAAACAGAATGATGATCGAACAGACATGTCAACTATCTTCTCCTTTATTGTCCCTTCTTCTCTTCTTTCACTCGACTACAGGCACAAACCCAGACAGGAGCAGATTTAATTCCTGATGAAACGAGTGAGAAATATGAGGGAGTAAGCAGCAATATCTGGATCTAAAATGTTCTACCCACCACATGAAACCCCCCCCCTACATAATGTAACTATTAGTAACACATAAATATGGATATTTTTTTATTCAAACATTTACTGTGTTAGTGTAAATCTGATATAGCTTTGTAGGAATTTACTACTGTAGAGATAATTCACCATAGAAAACCGGAGGCTTTGGGGATCCTGCACTCACTAGGAAGAGAGAGTGCGTAGGTTTATAGTTGAGTAGCTATGCTGTGCCCTAAAGCCACATATGAGGCAAAGTTTGGTAAGTAACATTCTAACGTGTGGTTAACAAGATTGTTTTCTTATCTTGAGTGCAACAGAAAGTATACCAAATTATAACTAAATCATTTGGAGTGCTCCTCAAGTAATTTTCATATTCAGTTCAGAATTGTATGTGATCCTCTCAAATATAGAGTGAACTATTCCATTTGCAAATGAGAATAATTATTTGAATACCACACAACACTGTAAATCCCATTGATTAGTGTGCATGACACTTTTTTTCCAAAACAAAACCGCAAAGAAGCCAGTAAACATTACAAATCTGTTGTTTTATTGGGGTAATCTGGCTGCTTAGTAACTGACAAGTAAATTACATCAATACAAATAGTTTTGGAGTGTCTGAAAATAGACAGTGATTTAAACTGTAACTAACAGCCATGCATTTTCCAGCTGCAGTGGCAGTGTTGAGGAAATGACACCAGCTTTGATGGTTGTATAGCTTTTGAGATGAGTCTCTTTATGACGCTTGCAGTTCCATCATGGCTTTGTTCAAAAGCTTGTTTACCTGCTGATAACATACACTGATGGATTCAGGAGCACCGATCCAAAATCTGCTGCCAAAGTCACTCAAGTCTCATTGTACCGCAGGAGGAGAATATTTAACTGTTTACGCAGAGGGGAATGCAAAATGTGAAATCAAACTATGGGACCAATAAGGAATCAGAATAACTTTGCCAAAGTTTTATTTTTAGCCCCAGTTGAAATGCTAACGTTCTGGAAAACGTTTACTTTTTTTTCTCCTGTGTGCTCTGTATGGGTAGGTTTGCACTATATTGGGGGGGTTTATATCATTTGTACAAAACGGACAACCAAAAAGCAACATTTATGTTAGTTGTGGATTCAATTTTCATGGTGAAATTTTATTAAATCAAGGATTCTACCAAAAATCAATTCTAAATCATGCATCTCATTTGGTCTGTAGATGTTTCATTTTAGAGAAGAAGCATTGTTTGCAGGTCAAAGGCATCCTTTTGCTTTGTATATATAATAACGTGGGCCTCCATGAGCCATGGCCCCAGCATTGGGCCACACACCCATCCACAGGCAGGTATCTAGGGGGCCAGCAGGGCCCCCAGACGGCCATCCATGGGGGCCATGTGACCCTGTCTCGGGGGTTAGCAAGATTTCCACTAAAGAGGGATGGGCAGAGAGGCTGAGGAGCCACTGAGTGCGAGTGTGTGAGGCTGGTGATGGCAGCTGTCAATGGTTTGGAAGGAGAAGCCAGACAGATTGTGCGTTCTGTTGGTGCAGCCAGTTCGCCACCTGGCAGGCTTTTCCTTGTTAGAACTTCTTGCTGTTTCTGTTCTCGTCGTCAGAGAGATGGAGAGATGTTTCTTTCCCTCCTCTCTCCTCATTTGCTTTTTCATCTATGGGGGAGATTTGGGATTTGTCAAACGGTTTAGAATGCTTTTGTATGAAATTATGGAAGATATGCACTCTACGTTCTAGACAAAGTAAGTAGGTTAATCAAGGGCACTATGTCACGTCACATCTACAGCTATAGAAGTATCCCATTGATTCCCACAATGACATTAGTGATTAGCTTCCCCATGGCCATAAAACACATTACCCATTATAGCTCATTATGACAGTAATTAATCAGACATGTAGGAAGCCAGACAGACAAAACAT